TCCCAGGGTCACCCCTCCCTATGCCCCCACCCTGTGCCCTGCACCACCCCAGCCCTGTGCCCCTCCTCCTGAGGGACCCCATTGTCACCTCCAGGCTCAGACCCAGCCCTGGGGAAGCATCCCTCAGCCCTTCCCTGCCCCCCCTGCCAGCACTTACCTCCTCCTTCACTACGTGTCCCCCCATCCTGGGGCTCCCTCCGCTACCCTGACCTGCACCACAGCCCACGCACATCCCTTGGGGACCTTCACTGGTCTCTGTCCCGGTTGCACTAAGGGGACGTCTTCCCCAACAGTCCCCCCTCTGAGCCCCCCAAGGCCGCTTGCAGTGCCAGCCCTGCTCCCTTGAGCTCTTACAGCTTTGGGACTGCTCTTAGTGCTCTCCAGCCCGGTGCTGGCTCTGTGGGGACAGCCCTGGAAGCACCAGTGCCTGTAGCCTGGGCTGACACCCCCCTCTTCCCCTGGGGTTCCTCAGCAGCATCACGGGGCTGTCAGGGGTCAACTTCTGCCACAGCCGATGGCTGGGATGGTGACATCTCCAAAATGCTCCCTCCTCCCTCTGCTCCCTTGGCTGCTTGTCAGACCCAGCTCTGCCAACGTGCAGTGAAGATGTGGAAAAATACTGGAGCCCTGTATCCTCGATGCCCCCGTGCCCTGCAGCCAGAGCCAGCTCACCCCAGCAATGTTACTTTCCTTCAATTTAATTCCCCCTTTTCCCAAACTTGTGTGCCAGGACTCCCATATGCTCCTTGGGGAGCTCGGTCTCTCCATGCCCCCCCTCCTGGGGTGTCAGCAGCCTCCAAAGCGTGTGCCCGGTGCAGACCACGCAAGGCTGCAAGACCTGTCCTCCAAGCAACCCCCCAGCTCTGGCTGCCCCTGCCCTGTGAGTCCCCTCTGCGCTCCTGGGGGGGCACGTCTGGATCTGCCTGCCTCTTCCCCTGAGCAGACCTGGTCCTGCTCTCCCTTCATCCTCCACACAACCAGCCAAGGGAGCCTCCCCCAGAAGGACAGTGTCCTAATTTCTGCGTAGCCTGGGTGCTTCCTCCATGTGCTCTGATGGGCACGGCTCCCTGGGAGAGGAGCCAACTATTCCCTTGGGGTGTGTGTCCAGCTGCAGCAAGTCAAGCTCCTTCTGGTATGGGGAGGGTTCCTTCCCCCCTTTATCACGTTGCACACCCTGAGAAGAGGAGGCATGGTTTGGGAAAGGCTCTTGGGTAGCTGTAGGTGTGCCCCATCTCTAGGTGAGGAGGGCTTGGCGTGCCCCAGTCCTGCTGCAGCCCTCTGAAGAGGGTGGCAGGGCTGGGCTCTCCATCCCAAGGCCAGAGAGCAGCAGTTTCACTCCCCAAACTAGAGTGCATTCTCCCCAAACTAGAGTGCATTCTCCCCAAACTAGAGTGCATTCTCCCCAAACTAGAGTGCATTCTCCCCAAACTAGAGTGCATTCTCCCCAAACTAGAGTGCATTCTCCCCAAACTAGAGTGCATTCTCCCCAAACTAGAGTGCATTCTCCCCAAACTAGAGTGCATTCTCCCCAAACTAGAGTGCATTCTCCCCAAACTAGAGTGCATTCTCCCCAAACTAGAGTGCATTCTCCCCAAACTAGAGTGCATTCTCCCCAAACTAGGGTGCATTCTCCCCAAACTAGGGTGCATTCTCCCCAAACTAGGGTGCATTCTCCCCACCATCCGACTGCCCTCTGGGCTGAGTTGTGCTGGCTTGGGCAGAGCATGTGCTCGCTGCCTTCCCAACCTTGGGGTCTGATACGGCACCGATAAATATATTCAGAACAAAATCCAGAGCTAGACGAGCCTCCCGGCTCCGCTCGCCCTCCTTCCCTCTCCGTAGCGGGCACGCTGCGTGCGTGGTGCTGCTCCGGCCGAGGTAGCCGGCACGTAGCTGTGCTGCCGTGCCATTCTGCACGACCGCAGCTGGGCTATTTACGGGCCCGCACAGATGCTGTGCCAAGGCGCCGGGGCTCAGGGCACGGGCAGGATTAGTCGGAGGCTTCCTGAATCGGGAGCACAACTGTCGGGATACCAGGTGACGTTGGGTCTCGGCGAGTGCAGAGCCTGAATGTTCATCACTTTAACGAGATGTGGAATATTAAATTGAAGGGCAGAGTGCGAGAAGGAAGCTGAAAGCCCGGCGCTGAGCCTGGAGGAGAGGCACGTATCCAGCAACGTGCTTGTTGCCCCGATACACGTGCATCGTCGGGGCTTGTGCACGGCCACGTGCCCCTCTTGTTCCCAACCCACAGCAGTGATAGAGCTGCCTTAAGTGAACAGGTGTGAGGGGTTGCATCCCAGCACGTCACCCGTGGGACCACTGGTGCTCAGCCCCACGTGTGGGCTGCCGTGGCGTTGCCCACGCACGTTAACGTGTCCGAGCACCCGGGCTGCGTGCTCTCGTCTCTCCGGTGCAGCCTCTTGGCACAGAGGGAGTCAGGGGAGTGGGATGCTGCTCTGCTGTCTTTACATTTTATTTTCCTCTGTGATGCTAAGCAAATTAGCAGGCTGTTAATGAGCTCCCAGGATAGGTTGCGGGAGGGCTGCGGTAAGGATGGAGAGGTTAGCATGTGCCGTCTGGTGTTTGGGCAGGGAGCGTGTGGGGATGCTTGCTGCGCGGTGGAGAGCAGGTCTGGCCTGTCCTCTGCATCTCTTCAGCTCTTGACTTCAGTTTGCTAACATCTCATCTTTAGGAAGCGGCTTGCCAGCTCTTTATGTTTAAAGCTATTTGTTTTGAAGGCAGGAAGATGAGTTAACAACTAAAACACTTTCAGATTATAGAAAGAAAATGAGGAAATCTTACTCTTGGCTGAAGCCTCTCCTAGCAGCGCTCCACCCAAAGCCAAGCGCACGGTGCTCGCAGCTACTGCTGGGTCAGTGGCATCCTCCCTGCGCTTGGTCCAGGGGCCAGGTTTTAAATCCAAGCCTTCCTTATGCTAAAACAAACCTCTGCTTGTTGGAGCCAGCAGGTCCTTGCTGTCTGCGAGCCGGTGTGTGAGCCGATTCCCTGAGGGAAGGGGCTGCCATGGGAATGCTCTTACCTTCCCACCTCTGTGCCCTGGCTTGATGCTCCTGGTCATGTGTGGGCATGGGGTGCTGCCGTGCTCCCCGTCGTCGTGCAGTTCCTGGCTGAGAGGAGCCAAACCCTCTTCCTCCCCACGTCAGGGCTCGATGGATGCCGAGGGGAGCCAAGCCCTGTGCCCTGCTGCGACATCGCTGGGGTTCAGCAAATCCACGGTGGCAGCAGCGGCGTGAGCTGGGGCTGTCCTGGCTGTGCAGAGGTCTCTCTGCTCCTGGGACGAGCAGCCTCTGCTTCAGTTTCCATGCTGTCATCCTAGTCTCACCAAAGGCTGCCTTGCACCGGAGAAGCTGCTTTTCCTCGTTGGTGTTTTGGTTTCCAGAGCCAAGCTGTCCTGTGCTGCTCCCAGTTGGCCCTCGGGTTCGTGTGCTGAGCCCTCCTCCAGCACTTCAGGGGTCGTTTGGTCCCTCAAAACGCACCCAGTGCTCCATGTCTCCAGCCTGTTCATGGTCCCTCCCATCCCCCAAACCTAACCCTCATCTTCTAAGGTCAGGGAGGTGCAGCCAAATCTTTCTGTTGTGCAGACTTTCATTTCCATAGCAGTAGCCATGGATACAGACTGTTTGTGTAAATAACCAATATTCCCACCCTTGCCGATGGCTGGCCATTGCCGGACAACCCAGGGCTTGGTGTCCCTGGTAGTCCTTGGCTTTACCTGCTGTTGGAATTTTGCTTTCCCAGAAGCTCTCTAGGGCTTTGCTAAAACAAAAACCCAACTTTGTGAAATGGGTGGAGTTATTTAACTGCTTTCAAAACACTCAAATTCATCCGTGTGACTTAACTGTGGCAGAGGCGAGTGGTGTCTTCCAGCTTCTCCCTCATGGTGCTTGAGGGGCTGAAAAAGCTAGTTTCTAGAGCAAAATGATGTCCTGGTTGTGTGTGCAGGCTCTCTGTCACCTGGGTGACCCTGTGCAGGTCATCTGGGGTTTGGCAGTGGCTTTTGCATCCTGGCACTGGCTAATGGGGCCGCCGGCCCTCCCATTAGCTGGTAAGATGCTGTTGTGTTTCTTCACATGCCTAGTTTATGCACAGGAGAGCAGTTTGCGTTGGCAGGGAGGTTGTGGAGTGAATCCTCGATGCAACAAACTGAACCTGAGATGCTCTGAGCTTGAATTCAACAAAATAAGAGGCTGTTTGGGGCATGATATCAAGCAGCAGCAGTGATATTTAAGTGTGGCTGAGACTGTGCATAAATGTTGTTTGCTATTTGGGCCTCTGTTTTCTTCTCTTTAAAGACTTGTTGGCACTTAACAGGAGCTGTACGAAGGGGCAGAGCTGCCCTAGCACAATCACAGGTGGGAGGGCTGACGTTCACATAGAACTGATCTTTGCTTTTAGTCTGCTGCTTTGGCTTTGAAAGCCTGGGAAGAATTGCCTGATGGTAGCACAGGAAAATAACCCTCTGCTTTCAAATTCCTGGGGAACACCAGAGAAGACCGATGCTTGACCTGGCTGATATGCCTGCACTTCACTGGGGACAGGTACCTGAGCTGGCTCCGAGGTGGTTGGGCTCAGAGAAGTGATGCTGGTGTGTGACAGTCGAGGGGTTCCTAAAGCATGTGCAGTGCGAGAGGTCCCGGTCAGATTCCTAAGGCCTTTACTATCCATGTAACCCAGAGCCATTCCTTGCCTGTGCTTAGTGTGGACACTTTAACGTCTTAATAACCCACTCTTGCTTTGTCCCTTTTAGGTGAGAGGATCCTGGGCTATGCGGAGGAGCCGTGCTACCTCTGGTTCGTCATGGAGTTCTGCGAAGGGGGTGACCTCAACCAGTACGTGCTGTCCCGAAGACCTGACCCGGCGACCAACAAGAGCTTCATGCTGCAGCTGACCAGCGCCATCGCCTTCCTGCACAAGAACCACATTGTCCACCGGGACCTGAAACCAGACAACATCCTGATAACCGAAAAGTCTGGCACCCCTGTTCTCAAGGTGGCTGACTTCGGGCTCAGTAAGGTCTGCGCTGGTCTGACGTCTCGGGGCAAGGGCCGTGGGCATGAGAACAAAAATGTGAATGTGAACAAGTACTGGCTGTCTTCGGCTTGCGGCTCCGACTTCTACATGGCGCCCGAGGTCTGGGAAGGACACTACACCGCCAAGGCTGACATCTTCGCCCTCGGTATCATCATCTGGGCCATGATTGAGAGGATAACTTTCATCGATGCAGAGACCAAGAAGGAGCTGCTGGGGACCTACATCAAACAGGGGACTGAGATTGTGCCCGTTGGGGAAGCGCTGCTAGAAAACCCAAAGATGGAGCTGCACATCCCTCAGAAACGCAGGACTTCCATGTCTGAGGGGATCAAGCAGCTCTTGAAAGACATGTTGGCTGCTAACCCGCAGGATCGACCTGATGCCTTTGAGCTTGAAACCAGAATGGACCAGGTTACATGTGCTGCTTAAATTCAGGGCAGGGCATCGCTGTGCTTTGCAGCTGGGTAAGTGATCTGTGGTTTTTGTATGCTGTCCGCTGTACCAGCCCGATAATTCACTTTGTAGTGACACAAAGGAGTCTTTTATGTTCCCAGAGCTATTTCTCTAGTGACTCATCACAGTCACTGCTTCTGAGAATGTTTTTTCCACCTATTCTACTGCAAAAATGAGGTGGGAAACTGAATTAGCAGCTGCCTGTCCTGCTGTTGCCCAAAGTCCCAGAGGTACAGGCAGGGCTGGGCAGGAGCCCAGCTCTTTTGAGGCCCTGGCCACTGGCTGAGATGGGCTGGTAGGTAAAGGCTGACCCATGAGCACCCTCTGACATTGGCTTTGGGTACATCAGTCTCTCCTGGGCCAGGGAAGGAGCTGCCAGTTCTGCCTTCTCTAATGTGTGGTGCTGAGAGGGCCTCACTGTCTAGTACTGTCCCCTTCCCCTCTGAGACTTGCGTCACCTCGGGGCTTGGCTGGCTCAGTGAGGAGGCACTGAGTGGGGTGGGCAGGTCCGTCTCACCATGGACAAAGCTGTTTCCTTTGCTGTCACGTCGGAGACTCGTGGGTCTGTCTCATTTTGCTTCCTTGCTGAAGGCAGGACTTCCCTTTGGTGCGAACTGCAGTTCTCCAAACCCAGTAGGATGGCTTAGTCTGGGTTTGTAGTCTGCTCAGGAAGGAAGCTTACGGAACGGTTGCCTGAGCTCAGCTCTGTTCAAACAGTCCCCTCAGCTGGGCTCAGAGTAATCCCAAGCTCAGAGTTTCCTGGTTCGGAGGTCACTCGTGGCCTGGAAGGACCCCCAGGGATGTGGGGTAGATGGTGGTGTCATTAAGCAGTGACAGCAAAGGACTGGGAGGTGTTGCCTGCGTGGCAAAGCTGCCTGTGAACAGGAGCTGTGAGTAGGGATTCTCCCAGCCAAATGCTTCAATGACACTGAAAAATTGCAGATTACCAGGGCCGAGATGCCTGTCTGCCCAGCCCAGGTTCTTTCCCAGGCTCCTGCAGAGCTGCTGGACCGTTGCTGGTCCCAGGAGACCTCTGAAAACCCGTGTCAGGTGCTGGCATTGCAGCTTGGACCCCCAGCCCTTACCTCACCCTGAAATCACCCAGATCCTGCTGGGCCAGAGCAGCTCACAGACCCAAGAGAGCAAAGAGGGGTGAAATAGCTGCCTTGGGCAGCAAAACACCATCTTTGCAGCCCACGGCTGTGTGCCTGGCCTGCTCCCGAGGGTGAGCCTCCAGCAGCAGGGCGGGGAAGGCGGGGGCATTTTGGGTAGGTTCTGCTAAAACCCCTCATTGCTGCGCAAAGCTTACGTAAAGCCATGTGCTGCTCATCCCCGCGCTGTGTGCCCAGATAACCTTTGTGCTGTTTGCAGAGACAGAGGAATATAGCAGTGGAAGGGGTAGGTCTAGTCCTGTCACTCCTGGTTTGTCCAAACTGCTCCCCAGACCATCCCCCTTCCGCACCCTGGCACAAAATATTTAACGCCCTTAAGATCTCCCAGCGCAAGTCATGGATGCGGCTGCCTCCGCCTGGGGCTGGGGATGAGGGTGGGGAGTGAATCCGCAGAAATGTGAGCCCTTAAGATGGGGTGTGATAAAGGGGTGAGAGCTGGGCACCCCACCTCCCGCCCCAGGGTGAGGCGTGGGTCTCCTCCGGCTGTCAGAGGGATGGGGTTTGCCGCTTCCAT